AAGCGTGCGTGAAGGAGTCCTCGCCTAAAGGGAAGAGGGAGGGGCGCGGGATAATGCATAGAATAACAGCGGACAGAGCGTCTATTTCATGATGCGAAAGGATGGGAGCCGCGCTCGCGCTGTCCTTGGGTGTAAAGTGCACGGCACATCCATTAACGATTTCGATACAATCATTTCAGTTGCTACTCTGTGCAAGGAAAACATGATTAAGAGATACAATACACCCTTGAAACCTTGCAGAGCTTCCCCGGTGTTTCCGGAGGAGGCGTGTCAAATTGTCAATTGTAAACTTGCGAACATGAGATTCCTTAATTGGGGAAAAATGTTGCGGTTTTCCGCTGCTGTTTTTTTCGCTAATTTAGTGTGTTAGACTGCTTTCATAGTTTGCGTTCCGTGTGGACCCAGTGGGCCGTGTGGACCTTGCGGCCGTGCGCACCGTATGGACCGTGTGGACCGCGCGGAGAGAGTGTGAAAGCGTCAACACGCGCTCTGGCGCACGATGCGTACTTGGCGCGCAGTCGGCGACTTCCGATCGATAAATTCGGTTTCATTACATTCTCCTTTTGTTTTTCAGGTGTTCCACGTGCCGTGTTGCTTTTGCTCGTGTTTTTTGGCGAGAATTTTTTCTTTTTCGTGTGAATCATTGCTTTTCAACTGTCCTAGAATGGTTAGGTTCATACAGTGTGTTTGAAAGTGGCAGTAAGCCCAAGTGAGTTCATTAGTAAGCAAAAGCAGTAATCCATACAAAAAAGGAAAAGTTTTGAGCTAAACAAGCGCAAGTGAAAGCAAAACGGCACACAAAACAAAAAAAGAAAAAAAAATGTATTGAAATTAGGATTATCGATCGGAAGGCGCCGACTGCGCGCCAAGTACGCATCGTGCGCCAGAGCGCGTGTTGACGCTTTTCACTACTCTCTGCGCACGGTCCGTCCTCGTGCTTTCATGGTTTGCGGTCCGTACGGTCCGCGGACCGCACGAACCGCAAACTATGAATGCAGCCTTAGGCGCAGCATACCAAGGGCAGAACATATCTGCGAAAATGAGATAGTTAGAGCAAGCGTTGGTGCTTTACACGACCAGGAGTTCTTGAACACGCAGAAGATTTTTAGCACTTCACCTGGTAGAGATTATTGTGGTATAGATGCTTATTTCAAATCGACTGTTCAGATATCAAGGCAGAAGTGGTGTTGTAGTACACGGCGCAGATTACCAGGGGCGCGGTTCGGGATCAAATCGTGGGTCTTGCATCGTTCGAGCCAGCCAAGCATTCCATCTCTACGAGAGCATTGTAATTGAAACAACAACGCCACAATCGTTCGAAATGTTCGCTGACACGGTTTGCAGAACTGAACGCTTTCTCGACACTTTGGAACTCGTACAGCTACCACTAAAAACTAAATTCGCTATCTCCTCCTAGCATTCACGAAACTACCACATTGGTGTGCGTGTCACTGTACATGGCAGTAGCCTGTGCAAAAGCTATGTCTACGAGTAACTTGCTACTGCTCAACAGCTCACCATACCTTATGAGGCCGTGCTGTCTAGGGCCCTCACACAAGCTCCGAACACAGCTCCGATCACAGGTACGCCCGATAGTGAAATAGACTTACCGTAGGTAATTGTTGTCGATTATGACTAGTAAATCGGCGTCACATCCCAAAGTTCAGACAGGCAAGACTTTGCCACCAACAAAAATGAGATGGCCAACTTGAAAACAGGCCAAGAATGGCATACTGCATTGCACAGTTCAAACCTTTCAGTAAGGTTTTCATGCTCAAAGCTAAGTATGACATGGTCATCCTCCCAAGCTAATATCGAATGGTGACTTTATAACGGACGACAAACATACAGCGATTTACGCCGACATGATATGCCTAAACCTCTCCTGTAGAACCCAAGGGGTAGCAGAAAGTCTGAAGGGCGCCTTCTGAAAACTTCCGATGATCTTCGTAGTAGATGCACCATCTACCCCTTCTGCGCACGCATAAATCACAAATATTGCACAAGATTACACATTGTCAAACCATCACCAAAAGAAAACATGCAACTCCAGAGACAAAAAGCCCTTTTCAGTCAAAAATCGATGGTATTACAAAAATGTCGAATAATTTTAATCCTTTGGATCCATCGCCGGCATAATCTCAATTTTCTTGTACATAGGTGCGAGTGAAAAATCTTGACGAACATGTCTGCACAGGTACTGAGAATAGGTGCACCCTTTTTAGGGAATTGTATAATTTAATTTAGCTGTTTTTCAGAACATGAAAAAATTTGATGAGATCGCCAAACACAACGCAATATCAAGCGACTGCAAAACGCCATCCGGCCATTGCCGCAGCCGCAGAAGCCGTGTGATACAATTGTTTCTCTAGGTTTCGATCACTATACATGCACTGAAGCTGTCACTTGTTCAGAAATAAAGTCCGCCGACAATGTCTCTCATCTAGGACCTCCGAAAGAGCGCATTCTTGAAACTGATTCTCTTGTTTTAGAAGTCGATAATCTTCGTCTGCAGTTTTTGTACTGTAGATCTCAATTGCGAACCCTCCATGCAATTCCATTGCTCAATGTCATGGATAAGATGTCGAGAGACAATTGGGAGAGCCTCATGAATCGATCGCAAGAATGGAGGAGTGGATGGAGATAGTTCCCTACTGGTGGATTTAGAATTCGATGAAAACGTCACTTCGGATCATCTGGAAACACTTAGCACTCTGCGCTCCAACTTGAACAACTTCCGCATGGAGGCCGAAAATGTAAAGGAAGAAGATGTCGTCAATTCCGAAAAAGAATTCCGCAATAAACTCGCTCATCTCGAACAGCTGATACTGGACTCCAGGAATTCAATAATGGAGGCCCTGGAAATCAGGGTTACTTCGCCAAATCAACGCCACCATGAACTCATCACTGAACACCACCAAAACGGGGCCGAGGAAATCGCACAGATTCGCGGAGAAAACAGTATAATCGAGGAAAACATAAACTTCACGGAAGGGGTGAAGAAGTCGGAGACCATGAAGAAGAATCCGATGAGTAAGGTGACGATACAGTGAATGAAAACTCCGAAGAGGAAGTTCACGACAGATGAAGATGAGAGCGTGGAGGCGATTCTCGATGAAGAGTTCGAGGAAAATTTAGCGATGACAGATAACAATCAGGATGCCCTAAGATGGAGAGGTTGATGGCCAAGCTGTGCTCATGATTGAGCAAGAAATAAGGAGCGCTGAGCAAGCCATACACAACTTTGAGGAGATATTGCGCCATCTGGACAATGTGCGCTTGTGCCCTTTCAGAAGATTCGGTCACGGAAACATCAACAAATACCACGAGCGCTTTATGAGTTGCGGCTTTTGCAAAGCAATGGGGTCCTCGTGCTCGATTGCACCTATATCGACCCTTTTGATCTACGACGAAGAGCGCATAGAGTCGACGCGCAGAAACCATCTACGATACGCAGTCTTTTGAACGGGCCCAAATTTCCTTGAAAGTTCATTTACTCATTTCATTCACCCACCGCGCGTGGCTCACCTTTTAGCCTTTGGCGCTAAGAAACGATGATTAAAATGGTGTGGCTTTCGCCACACCATTTAAACCATCGTTTCTTCTTCTGGCGTCAGCCACCCATTTCCGTTGTTCCCTTTTCAGGCGAAAGCCAGGTACTCCATGAAGTTGTTCTTCTGGCGTGAGCCACAGTATCTCATTCGCTATTTCGTTCATTGTCCCGGCACAAGCCGCAGTATTTCGTTCATCACTTCTTCTTACGGCGGAAGCCCACTTTTCATTACTCGTTTGTATTTTTTCTCTCCCAGCACCGGGCCGCAGTGTTTTAGTGTTTGTTTCTTTGTTCGGCACTAAGCCGCATCTGTTCGTTGGATGTTTTCCATCTGGCACTAGGCCATACTGACCCATGTTCATTGTTCTCTTTATCGGCGTTTAGCCGCAATTTATCACTTGCTGTGCTTCTTTGGCGTTAAGCCGCAGTTCCGTTGTACTCATCCACTAATACGAGTGTTTTTACGGTTGAAATTTACCTCTCGATGCTCCATGGATATTAGCATATCTACTTCCAAGTTTGGTCATTTTGCAATTTCGTAAGATGAAATAAAGTTTAATTACCCAAGTTTGAGGTTGTTCTGACTGGTGGATTACCCGTGCCATATCTGTCGTGTTGGTATTCATGCTCTGTTATTTCTGAAGATATTCAGCGATCTGTGAAGTTCCGCGTGTATTCTATCCTGCTGAGCCTTGATTATCCATCACTGCCCCACTACTCTGACTCCTGCACTGCTGTCCGTGATATTGAGATCAGAAGGAGGTTGAGTCGACCGACAGATGCAGACAGTGCTTCAAATTTCTGTGTTCGAGAGGATCGGCTTGCAAGAAGTACATGACACTCTGCTTTTACTGTCGCGAGCGCGACCACCATAGCGCATTGTGCAACTTTCCGGACTACAGCGATGAAGCCCGCTCACGCCAGGATAACGCCTACGAAGGAAGAAGAAGAAACATTGCCAAACTGGAAAAGCTTCGACGCGAGCTGAGGCTCTACGGGATTCGCCCATAAGCTCGGCGATGCTCATCGGCGATCTATGACTATCTTTCTTGACATCTCCCACCACTAGCCCCCATCTTGCGAAAACCCCATTCGGGGTGGGGATATCGTGATTCTTTCACGATCATTGGAAGGGAATCAAAGTAGAGCAGGCATAGATGATCGCGCGGCAAGCGAAGAAAATAAAAGGCCGTGGGTGGCCGCTAGAGGACTGCCGTTCAGTTTTATTGGTTTTATTAATTTGTTCCTGTTGTTAATCTTGTTTATTGATTGTTCGCCTTGTTGAAGAATAAATTTGTTATCGACAGGGTTGCGCCGTGTATTGTGTACGGTTATATTGCGCTTGCAACGGTTATATCACCCAAATAATATTGACTTATTATTTGTGGACCTTTTCACCGCGTGGCGACGACAAGCGAGGGGAGCCCCCTCGTTTTATTAGGTTCCTCCAAAAGTCTTTGCCCATTTCCGTGTGTATGCTGGAAAATTTCCAGGATAATTTTTGACCAACCATTGTAAAACAGATGCATACCCTAGTCAATGATCTCTTCGCGGCATTTCTGCAACGATTATGGCTGCGAAACTTTGAATGAAAGCATATTTGGCCAAAAACGCGAGAAAACTCCAGTGGGAATGATGCGGCAAGAGCCCTACGTCTTGCGATGGACCTCCAGAGTGTCTTTCACGACATGGCAAACATTTGGTTGCCGATGTCCAGAAACTCGAGAAAAAAGCCCAAAGTCGGTTGGCTTGTTACCCTGAGTGACGAGTGTCTTCTGGAGTTGTTTGGAAACAGTCTCTGGTGCAATGCACGGTAACTGACACAGCTTTTCCACAGTTATCAGAACACAATAGCCATTCCTCAATAGCTCCTCAAAAAGAAGAGAAATTATGGCAAAAGATTTCGTGATCTGGGTGACAACCGCCTTCAGAAGCCTTCAGATTTTGCATGAACATTTTGATTTACCGTCTGTATCTTGTTTGACCCGACTACTTTGTTGGTGGTAGCAAGGAGTGGGTTCCTCAAGTAAACCACACCCGCGAGCGCCACTGGCTCAGACGCGTAGAACCAGAGATTCCGACGTCCATTCCAGCACTGCAACTTGAGGCAACTTTCGGAGTTGGTAAAGCTGCAAGCGATTCGTTCACTGATAGCTCCTACCAACGAACTGCACTGCTATTGTTGAACGATAATATGGGGAAACTGATGACTCCACCGGCACTATGCTGGAAAACACTGCAAAGTTTACTTCATCCAAGCGACTGTCAAGGAATTTAGAAAGGAAAAGTCTCCAAGCCAGGGTCAACCCTACGTTGTTACGAGTAACAACGGGGGGTCGTACTCAGTTGAGCTTGGAGGGGGGGGGTCGTACCCTCTCGGTGGCCGAGTGGGATTCTTGGTAATATCGGATAATAGCCAGCACGTTACGTTTTCGTAAGATGACTGATACTAGAGCATCTATAAACCACGCTTCCCTCTAAATGAGCTTTCAAATGAATCAGCGAATTAGAAGGGCGCCCGAGGCGTGGCGCGCACCAAGGCAAGGGATGTAGTGCAAGCGCATGCTCGAAGCTTTCTAGCACATCCTAAGTTAAACATGACATTGGTCTTCCAAGAAGTTACGGGCAGTGAAACCTAAGAAAACCCGCGTTTTCGGAAAATGGCTTGAAGAATACCCCTCAAAAAAGTAACAACGGGACTAATTTTTGAACTGCTGACTTTTCAGGAACGTTTTGGTGCTCTTGAATCCTGTAGTTTATTATACCGTGTTCAGCTTCCCAAATGAATGACTTTGAAGGAAGTTATGATCGTTTGAAGGTCAAAAAGTCGCATTTGCACAGAAAAAAGTAACAACGTACTAAATTTTTATTAAATTAACTTTCGAAGAATTTTTACCCATGGTTGGAGAGAGAATAATTTGAATTTTCCAAATCAAATCACTTCGGCGCAGAAGCTCGAATATGAAGGAAGTTATAGCCTTAGAAAGAGGGGTGTAAAAATTGTGTTGCAATTGAAGAACGTGAAGGATTTCAGTATTTCAATTGGAG